GCAGAACAGAGCAGAACATAAATATTCCATTGAGCCCTTCAATGGTTCTTTACAGTTCACAAAAGGGTTCTTTGCTCTTTTAGTGATAATTAAAGGCAGTTAATTAGCATATTTTGGGGCGTGGTTTTGTGAAACTGTGCATGAGAGTGTCATTCCAGTTTGTCTAATGTGTTGTGTTATGCCATTACAGAGCAGAACAGAGTAGAGTAGAGTAGAGCAGAGCAGAGCAGAGCAGAGTAGAGTAGAGCAGAACAGAGCAGAGCAGAGCAGAACAGAACAGAACAGAACAGAGTAGAGTAGAGTAGAGTAGAGCAGAACAGAACAGAACAGAGCAGAGCAGAGTAGAGCAGAACAGAGCAGAACAGAACAGAACAGAGCAGAGCAGAACAGAGCAGAGTAGAGCAGAACAGAGTAGAGTAGAGCAGAACAGAACAGAACAGAGCAGAGCAGAGTAGAACAGAGCAGAACAGAGCAGAGCAGAACAGAACAGAGCAGAACAGAGCAGAGTAGAGTAGAGCAGAACAGAGTAGAGCAAAACAGAGTAGAGCAGAGTAGAGCAGAGCAGAACAGAGTAGAGTAGAGTAGAGCAGAACAGAGCAGAACAGAATAGAACAGAGCAGAGTAGAGCAGAACAGAGCAGAACAGAGCAGAACAGAACAGAACAGAGCAGAGCAGAACAGAGCAGAGTAGAGTAGAGCAGAACAGAGTAGAGCAAAACAGAGTAGAACAGAACAGAGTAGAGCAGAGCAGAACAGAGCAGAACAGAACAGAGTAGAGCAGAACAGAGTAGAGTAGAGTAGAGCAGAACAGAGCAGAACAGAACAGAGTAGAGTAGAGTAGAGCAGAACAGAACAGAGCAGAACAGAGTAGAGTAGAGTAGAGCAGAACAGAGCAGAACAGAACAGAGTAGAGTAGAGTAGAGCAGAACAGAGCAGAACAGAACAGAACAGAACAGAGTAGAGCAGAACAGAGCGGAACAGAACAGAACAGAACAGAGTAGAGCATGATGTTCCCTGACCTGACTGATCAATGACTGATCAACCATTTCCATCATCAATACTGATCAACAACATCCAACAACCACCCCTATAATGAACAGGCTGAATAAGCTCTTCTCCTGTGTGTTAAGCTTTTTTCCTCTGCTGCTGCAAGAACAAAATACATCCAAAATGCCAAAAGGAGGATATTGGAGTCTGTCTACTTTGCATGCAAGCCTATACCCTCTCGTTCATTGAAACTGAATGGTCATTCACTGAGGCTGTCCTAATATGGACACCATACGTCAAACTACAATATATGGCTTTAACAAAGTCCAAACCTCCTCATACAGTATATACTGTCTGTATAATGTGGTATTGTCTCTCTCTAATGGGCATTTACTTTGTTCTATGCATATGCAGCAAACAATTATCAAAGTAGCAGAGACAAAGTGTGTTTGGTCCTTTTTGATTCTATGGGTTTTAAGATTCATTATAAACTGGGTGGGTCGAGCCCTGAATGCTGATTGGCTGACAGCCGTGGTATATCACGGGTATGACAAAAAATGTATTCCGCGTTGCGTCGTGCTTAAGAACAGCCCTTACCCGTGGTACATTGGCCATATACTGTACCACGCCTTATTGTTTAAATATACCATCTGAAGCATAGAACCAATCTGTCTGACAGGAAAACGAACACATTCACTCTTCCAGTATATTTGTTTTGACCACTGGCCTCTCATCCTTCTGGTCCAGATGAAGAGGAGTTTTGACCACTGGCTTTTCATCCTTCTGGTCCAGATGAAGAGGAGTTTTGACCACTGGCCTCTCATCCTTCTGGTCCAGATGAAGATGAGTTTTGACCACTGGCTTTTCATCCTTCTGACCCAGATGAAGAGGAGTTTTGACCACTGGCCTCTCATCCTTCTGGTCCAGATGAAGAGGAGTTTTGACCACTGGCTTTTCATCCTTCTGGTCCAGATGAAGAGGAGTTTTGACCACTGGCCTCTCTTCATTCTGGTCCAGATGAAGAGGAGTTTTGACCACTGGCCTCTCATCCTTCTGGTCCAGATGAAGATGAGTTTTGACCACTGGCCTCTCATCCTTCTGGTCCAGATGAAGAGGAGTTTTGACCACTGGCCTTTCATCCTTCTGGTCCGGATGAAGAGGAGTTTTGACCACTGGCCTCTCATCCTTCTGGTCCAGATGAAGAGGAGTTTTGACCACTGGCCTCTCATCCTTCTGGTCCAGATGAAGAGGAGTTTTGACCACTGGCCTCTCATCCTTCTGGTCCAGATGAAGAGGAGTTTTGACCACTGGCCTCTCATCCTTTTGGTCCAGATGAAGAGGAGTTTTGACCACTGGCCTCTCATCCTTCTGGTCCAGATGAAGAGGAGTTTTGACCACTGGCCTTTCATCCTTCTGACCCAGATGAAGAGGAGTTTTTGCAGTTTCACTTTCCTACACATGTATGAACAAGGCACCATTTTGTAATTCAAGTCTATAATTCAATGCTTGAAAGAACTCTGGAAGAATAGACGTTTGCCCTGATAAAGTATTTCAGTATCTTCAACAACAGATAGACAAATAGATGCTATTCTATCATATTTTGGTAGTAGTTTACATCAGGATGATACTCCTTTACGGTAATTTACTACTTATTCTATCATATTGGGGTAAGTTTACATCAGGATGATACTCCTTAGAGCCCTTACTACATTATTCTATCATATTGGTAGTAGTTTACATCAGGATTATACTCCTTTACTGAGTCATTTACTACATTATTCTATCATATTGGTAGTAGTTTACATCAGGATGATACTCCTTTACTGAGTCATTTATTACATTATTCTATCATATTGGTAGTAGTTTACATCAGGATGATACTCCTTTACTGAGTCATTTATTACATTATTCTATCATATTGGTAGTAGTTTACATCAGGATGATACTCCTTTACTGAATCATTTACTACATTATTCTATCATTTGGTGTAGTTTACATCAGGATGATCTCCTTACTGAGTCATTTTACTTATCTATCATATGGTAGTAGTTTACATCAGGATGATACTCCTTTACTAAGTCATTTATTACATTATTCTATCATATGGTAGTAGTTACATCAGGATGATACTCCTTACTAGTCATTTATTACATTATCATCATATTGGTAGTAGTTTACATCAGGATGATACTCCTTTACTGAGTCATTTATTACATTATTCTATCATATTGGTAGTAGTTTACATCAGGATGATACTCCTTTACTGAGTCATTTATTACATTATTCTATCATATTGGTAGTAGTTTACATCAGGATGATACTCCTTTACTGAGTCATTTACTACATTATTCCCTATTATTCTTGGTGTTTACCACTCTAGCTCTGTCTCTCTATGGCCTCTGTGCCCATTTAACACCATCAAAGATGGTGGACCTCAACCAGAATAATAAACTCATTCTAAATGGACTACACAATCCAGATTGAATCATTGTCCTTAGGCTGTGGTCAACAGATAACTCATTTAATGTGTGACTCAACAATACTGATTTATGGTCGTTGGACTACTACACAGATTAAACTAATTCTAATGGCTGTGGACTACAACACAGATAAACTCATTCAATGGCTGTGGACTACACACAGATAAACTAATTCTAATGGCTGTGGACTACAACACAGATTAAACTCATTCTAATGGCTGTGGACTACAACACAGATTAAACTAATTCTAATGGCTGTGGACTACAACACAGATTAAACTCATTCTAATGGCTGTGGACTACAACACAGAATAAAACTAATTCTAATGGCTGTGGACTACAACACAGATTAAACTATTCTAATGGCTGTGGACTACAACACAGATTAAACTAATTCTAATGGCTGTGGACTACAACACAGAATAAACTAATTCTAATGGCTGTGGACTACAACACAGATTAAACTAATTCTAATGGCTGTGGACTACAACACAGATTAAACTAATTCTAATGGCTGTGGACTACAACACAGAATAAAACTAATTCTAATGGCTGTGGACTACAACACAGATTAAACTCATTCTAATGGCTGTGGACTACAACACAGATTAAACTCATTCTAATGGCTGTGGACTACAACACAGATTAAACTCATTCTAATGGCTGTGGAGTACAACACAGATTAAACTCATTCTAATGGCTGTGGACTACAACACAGATTAAAATCATTCTAATGGCTGTGGACTACAACACAGAATAAAGTAATTATAATGGCTGTGGCATGGGACTCACAGTAGAGGAAGAGAGAGGCCAGTCAGACTTCCCTTTCTAACAACTGATCAAGCCCTTTCAAGGTCACCAGAGACAGACCTACAACTTCTGTCAGTGAAATGAATGGGGGGTGAGGGTAGCAATAGCCCTGGAAGGTCTCCCATTGCCCTCATCTTGTGGCTTTCAGCAGAATTGTCCATTATGAAGTTCACAGGTCAATGGAATTGACCTCAAACAAAGTCTAACTGCATTGATTTAATTCCATTTAATGAATCCATGACCTATTTGAGTTCAGGAGGGTTAAATGGAGTTCCCAATATTGTACTTTAGCTCCATCTGGTGGTCAAATGTGCACATGGCCACACACACTTCATGCTAAGAATTCCAATTGTTGCTCAGCTTTATTAGCAACATAATCTCGTGACTGCCAAAACAGAGTAGCTGATTTGTTTTCGAAGTGCCAAGATTATTAGCAACATCATGGTCTGCAGGTCTGGTCGATGACATTGACAACAAAACCAGCTCTGTGCAAGTCTTTATGATAATTATTTACCACAAAAACTGTACATGAGAGATAATCAAAAGCATAAAATAATATCTCAAGATATTGACACATTTCACAGCAGACTAATAAATAAAACCCAATACATTCCCAATGTGTCCGAAATGTCTTCCGCCAAAAGCCAGACAGGCAACCATTGCTGCCTCTTGTGTTGTGCTGTTTGTGCGGTGTGTGGCTCAAAGTCTGTTGAAGAGAGTTCATTTAATTGTAGATTCTCTGCTGAGTAGACACGCTGCTGTAGTCCTGAGCTATGAGGCAGGTGGACTGAGGTGGACTGAGGTGGATTGAGGTGGACTGAGGTGGACTGAGGTGGACTGAGGTGGTGAGGCATTCTGAATGGAATGTTAAGACACTGACCGTCTCATTCCTCCTTCTCTGTAGCCTGCAGATTCAAAAAGAAACAGAAGATCCACATCATCAATTTATATTTTGCGGTCCTTTGTAGCTCAGTTGGTAGAGCATGGCAAGTGCAACGCCAGGATAGTGGGTTCGATTCCTAGGACCACCCGTATGTAAGATGTATGCATGCATGACTGTAAGTCGCTTTGGATAAAAGCGTCTGCTAAATGGCATATATTATATTATAATATAATACATCAGGGATGCTTGAAAGATGGGAAAATCAACTTTTTTTTTCAACAAATATTTTTCTTAATATTACAAACATTTTAAATATATATTTTCATAGACAAAAGTATCAGCTATCACACAATGTAATGGAACAACCTCATTCTAATTTTTTTTTTTATAAAACACAACTCACTGGATTCATGTCAACACCGTCAGACACCTTAAAAGGCATTTCATTTTTAAGTTTATTGTTCAACAAGTGTTTAAATTGTTTAATTCTAACATTCGATAATATAAGGGCTGTTCTTACCACACCTCCTCGGGCCTTACTGCTTCAATAAACTGGTTACCAACGTCATTAGAGCAGCAAAAATAAAATGTTTTGTCATACCCGTGGTATACGGTCTGATATACAACAGCTGTCAGCCAATCAGCATTCAGGGCTCGAACCACCCAGTTTATAATCAAATGTATACAACGGGTGTGTCTAATCCTGAATGCTGATTGGTTAAAAGAGCATTCCAGCCGGTGTCTATTCCACAAGTTACCACCGGCTAAATCTATTACGTTAAAATGCCTATTTACTCTGTTCCATCTGACTGCCCAATCCGCTGTCTCATCAGCCCAGCCAGGCAATTTATAAACTTGATCTCCACTATAAAAAGCATCTAGACATTATCTCCCATTTCTTTTAGACTAACATTTAGTTTTCAACAGCGGAGATTTGTATAAACCTTGCTGTCTGTCTCTCCGACATTTGCAACATTGTTTCACTATTGAAATTCGATCTCCAGCTGTCCCATAGTAATGAACGTGTCAGGAGTCGGGATTCGGGATGAGACAGCTTTTCTCAGCCAGTCGAAATCATGAATCAGCATCATTTTTATGGATACATACAAAGACCTATCAATAGAAAACAGGTCAAACGAAACGAAGTGCAGCTAGTTTGCTGTCTTTCCAGCTTCAGTTTGAAGTGATTGTGTTAGCTGTGTTGTTGGCTAGCTCCTCTGAACAAGTGTCCTGACGAGAGAGCACATTTTCTACGCCAGTCGAAATCGCGCATCATTAGCTCATTGTTATGGATGTATCCAAATAAATGTCACTAGAAAACAGCTTAAACAAACGCAAATGCAGCTACTTTGCTGTTATTCTGGCTGCACTGTTCGACGTGACTAAGTTAGCCGTAGTTGGCTAGCTAGCAAGCAAGGGATAAAAACATTGCCAGTCATTATGACAATGGAACATTTAGAACGAACGACTGGGTCGCGTCCATAGATACAGAACAAAAAGACTGAACGACTGGGTCGCGTCTCCGGCAACCGAACCAATAGAATGAACGACCAGCCGGCTTGGGTAGCAACCCTAGATTTGTGTCGGGGCTATATCTAGTTGAAGGATGAAATAATATAAATTAATTAATCAAAATAATGTTTTTAATGAAAATATGTCAATCATTATTTGAATATGCTGATAACCCGTTGTACTTCGTCTCGGTTTCTGATTGGCTTTAAGGATATTCTAGAGCATGCATTATTTCCCTATAACGCACGGTATATTTGCATGATAGAATTCAAATGACTATAGTTAATTCTTACATGTTCTATGTTTGAGCTGCTTTTGAAAGCAATAGTCGAATTGAAAACATTATTGGCATTGAATTGAATTCGATTTTCATAATGGCAAGCTAGGACTGATGGTTTAGTTAGCTAAACTAGCAAGTCTGTTTGTTTGGTTACCACGGCAACTACTGTAGCTATTTAGTAAACTTGCTAGCTACTTCAGTGGATGTTGAACACATTTCTACCGGAAAATGAACACATTTCTAGTGGCAAATATGTTAAATTATAGCCTTGGTATAAAAGGAATAATCAACGAGGGGCTATGTGTTCTCTGGAAAATAATGCAACTCCGTGGAAGGTCAGTTCTACTCCACTAGCGTTTCGTTTAACACACCTTCCACGTTGTTCATTATTTTCCATAGAACGCATAGCGTCCCTTACATTAAATACAAATCTCCAAACTTATTTTTGTTTTATTTTATAGCGCTATATAATGCTCCAGGGCTAATTTCGTTAGCATTTTGGTATGTTTTTCTACATTCAGAACATAAAACAACATTTATTAAGCAAACATTATCCCTTAGGTCTAGCATAGCAAGTACTTTAATAGTTGAAGCATATGTTGCAGAACAGTGATTCAAATATTTTTTCTGAATATTGACAAAGATAATCTATCTTAAGGGGGTTAGCCATCTGTGACGGAGTTGACAACAAATACTGAAAACAGACATATTTTTTGCCTCTAAAAATAGAAGTTCAACACAAACATTTTGTGAAATATAGAAAATAATTCATTTGAAAATCCCCAATAAAAACATAACCAATCTATCAGATCTTTCAGCGCTCTGACGGAATTGACGTTACATGAAGATTTGACGGAGTTTGTTTACGGAGTTGACAAAAATGTAATGTTTATTCTTCATTCAAGTGGTAATACAAAGTAGCAATTTCGTTTTTTTCCTCAGTTGCTTTATGACTCTAAAACCTAATTAAAATAAATACATATTTGAACCAAAATTCATATCCTATCAGGCAGATGGAGTTGACAGTTTATGGTTGTGACCATAGTGATTTCAATATGTTTAATTCTATCAAAAGTAGAGAACCTTCCAGACGATGAGTGGTCTTGTTGCACCACGTAATGAGGACATGAAGAAGGGGTCCTTATGGTATAGCTGACCCTGCTCATTCCTGATTCATTTAGGATTTCAGACAAATCTGACGGAGTTGACCAAATCTCCGGACACATTTTTTAGGAATCACAGTTTTGAGAGGAATATAAGTCAGAGAAAGCTATTGCAAGAAACTACATAAGATCCTTTTTCAGTTCATATTATTATTATATTTACACTTTTTTGGAGATATTGAAATTGGGATCCTTTGCTCCGGACAAGGGCATTTCCGGGCATAGAGCCGACATGGAAATAAATATTGAACATATTTTGAAAATTCCAAAAGCAAATCTTTTCCCTTATAAAAAAATCCCCTAAATGTAATTTTTAAGTTCAAATAACGCAAAACATTTCTTTAAACTTTAAAAAAATATATATAAATACTTTTTCCTGCCGGACAAGGATTGTCCAGACTTTCAAGAATCCCTGATATATATTAAGTCTCTGAATGCTCTGAAAATCAGTGAATGCAAAGAACCCAGGGTTTGGGTTTGTTTGTGTGTTAAATGCGTACGTGACACGTGTGTAAATCATATGATCTCCCATAACCAACCTTCTCAGCATTGGCAGCCATGAGAGCCTCCAGCTGGTGGTTCCAGCCCAGGGCATCAGCCAGCATCTGTACCCCACCGACCACATCCCCTAGCTGGGCCACATCGTTGTGTCGCGGGGTCCCCCATGCGAAGGGCCCCACCAGGTCTCTGTTGATAAGCAGGCGAGGGACAGAGTCCCTCACAGCTCCGGCCAGACTGGCAAAGGGCTCCACCTAGTGTATTGACATGGAACAACATGCTTTTATAAGTCTCCAGTAAAAATATATATATTACATTTTAGTTATTTAGCAGACGCTCTTATCCAGAGCGACTTACAGTTAGTGAGTGCATACACTTTCATACTGGCCCCCCGTGGGAAACGAACTCACAACCCTGCCGTTGCAAGCACCATGCTCTACCAACTGAGCTACAGGGGACTATACCTCAGATATCTTTGATATGCTCTCTATAGGACCCCTGGACTGCTGAGTGAAACCCTGTCCTGCCTGAGTGATAGGTGAATAACATATCAATAATAGGAGAATAGCGTGTTAATAATATGTTTATAACCGCTTAATATGTGAATAACAGCTTAATATCAGGTCTATAACAGGCTAATAACAGTTGAAGAATAGGTTATAAATGCTGAATAACACGTGTATAACATCTTAATAACGGTGTTCCTCACCTCCAGAGAGGTACCCATGATAATGAGGAGGTCTGCCAGGGGGAAGTCCTTTAGGTAGCTGAAGAAGTGAGGCGGTAGCTCCTCCCCAAAGAAGACGATGTCAGGCTTCACCACGCCCTTGCAAGCGGCACACTTAGGGACTGTCCCCTTCATAATATCAGGCTAAACCAGAGGAGCAGGCAAACGCACAGGAGAAATACAGGAAATCAAAACCAGATATATTTTAACAACAACTATTCTCTTTCAAACTTAAGAAACGTTCACAAATGACAGTATCAGTGCTAGATCGATTGAAGTTCTCAATAATATGAATAAGTTGTAACAGGGAAATGCTCTGAGAATGGTGTGACAGTTAACCAACTCACACGTAGCTCCTCCCCCTGGTAGTCTCTCCGACACACAGTACAGGTAGCAGTAGCAAAAGTTCCGTGTGCCTCCACCAGTTTCTCAGGGGGGATTCCTGCCACTAGAGTCACACACACAGAGAGACAGAGAGAGAGACAGACAGAGAGAGACAGAGAGAGACAGAGAGAGAGACAGACAGAGAGAGAGACACAGAGAGAGAGACACAGAGAGAGAGAGAGAGACAGAGAGAGACAGAGAGACAGAGAGAGACAGAGAGAGAGACAGAGAGAGAGAGAGACAGAGAGAGAGACAGAGAGAGAGACAGACAGACAGACAGACAGACAGACAGACAGACAGACAGACAGACAGACAGACAGACAGACAGACAGACAGACAGACAGACAGACAGAGAGAGAGAGAGAGATGACAGGCTCCTGTGTGTATTATATGGACTGTTTTTCATATATGGTCATAATAGTGGATCAACTCACATCTCTCCAGACCATCGATATTTTGCGTGTACATTCTGAGGAGCTGGCCCTTGTCATGAAGGAGCCGTACAAAGTAGTGTGTGAGGTTGGGTTGGTAGTTGCCTGGGTACAGCTCTTTGGCCAGGGCAAAGAAAGGATTGGGGTTGTGATGGAAGAAGTTGATCTCGAAGATGGCTTCTGCGTAAGGAAGATTATACTGCTGGAGGTTGTCATAGAGACCACTGCCAGGGGACCTGTCCAAGGAAATTAAGGAGAAAAAGGTTTCCTACAAAGTCTGTGCATTCATTGTATTCCTGACATGTGTTGACCGCAAACACTTTCCAAATAATGCAACATCCCAAAAGTGCAAAACAGCACCCTGCCCACTGGTCAAGTGCACCTCTGCACCTCAAGCATTTGAAAATATTTGACATATCTCGTCACCTGAAGTCTGGGATGCCACTAGGTGTGCTGATCCCAGCCCCGGCCATCACTATGACCCTCTTGTACTGTCTGCCTCTGATGTTCTTAGTGAGGTCCTCTAGGGTCTGCTGCTTGGAGCTCTCCCCTCCTCCTCTACAGAACAGTCCTCGAGACCCAGACCACCAGACTGTCCTGTCTTGGCTTGGGCGTAGACCATGAACACCCCTTTGCCTTGGAGCAAGGCATAATGTTCTTTGCTGTTGATCTGAGAAGGTAATGCATGTGGTGAAGTTACTGAGCAACTAGCTACTATCCTCATCCATCGTATTACCTGTAGGTCTATGCAATGTTCACATCAATCATCAAAAGCATCTTTCATAATTACAATTCGTTTCAATTAGCTATTTACGCTCTTACTTACGATTCAGTGTGACGAATCCAGCTGTCCTCGATGTAATAGTGTGATACAGACACAACCTGCACTTGTGGACCAGTGGGGAGGTCATGAAATAAGTCATAGCTAGCTGCAAGAAATACACAGTATATTTGTAGCTTTTCTAGAGCCACGTCTTCATTTTGGAAGCAGGCAGTTTGAGCGCATGTTTCTACACAATAATAGCCATTTCAATAGCATAACTCTCCTAACCTTTAGCTACATTTCATAGTGCACAACATTTGCTCAAAACAAATGTAAGCCGCTGCAGTAGTTTGTTGTTGCTCTGATTACCTTAACTCGTGACGACAACTGATTATACCGTAAAATATGTGAAATTATATTACTGCTTAGAATTAACCGTTGAAATAGAAGTGCTCACTGTCATTATTTTATCAATTGTAAATATCAGTTTGGTTCACTAATATCGATTAATTTAACTACTTATCGTGATTACATCTCAAACTACATGGCGTAATAAAAAACCCTCATCTGCAGCGTATTTGTTATAAAACTTACGGTAGATATTCCTAGCTCAGCTCCCATGATTCTTTGCGTCTAGCTTTGCTTTTGGTGCTAGCTGGACAGTTAGCTAGCTAGCCAAAGAAATTCTAGATTAAAGTTATCAACACGTTTCTCATTCGGTATCTAAATCAAACCTACCGCCAAAATGAAAGATGTTACCGGGTACCTCAAAACGCAACAGAGCATGAGCTCCACTCCAGAGATGGCATCGGAATGGCACACACTAGAGGAGTTTTACAACAAAAAGTAAGGATAGCGTCTGTCTACGTTAGCTAGCTTTGTATGTCATTCATGCGCTGAGTCATGGAGTTAGCTTGCTAATGCTACAGTAGTAGCTAGCTAAACATCAACCGTCAATGAATGACACAAGAAATCCACCAAATGTGAATTGTGTAGAGTGGAATAAAAAATATGAAATGTGTTTTATTCGTAACGTGACTAACGTTACCGAAAATGTATTGTTATGATAGTCGTCATGTCCACAATCCTCCTTGATGCTATGTGGCTAACGGTGGCTAAAATGCTTCACTAGACAGGGAGGCTAGCTAATTTGCCAACATTAGTTAGCTAGTTAGTTAACGTTAGCTAGTTTGTTTGCGTGTAGGGACTTGTGACTTTGCAATCTTGCTAGCCCATAGGTGTTCATAGTCTTCGTCTTCCCTTCATCTGACAGCTTGCCGCCTAACCCCATTCAATTCAGGATTGTTTCTTATTCATCAGATAATGCCCATATGACTGTTACATACCGCATCTTTCCATTGACAGGTTGTGGCATCAGCTGACCCTAAAGCTCACAGACTTTGTAAAAGACCCTTGCTTCGCCAAAGGAGATGGCCTCATACAGCTGTACGAAAACTTCCTCAGTGACTTTGACCACAGGTAAGACCAATACCAACCTACAGTAGTAACTGTCTCTCTGACAATTGGAATAGTAGCTAGAATTACAACACGGTTTTAGTAGTTGTCTAATCTCTGGGTGTTCAGTCATAACCTTTCTTTCTCTCTCTCTCTCTCTCCCTCTCCATCTTTTCTAGAATCAACCCACTGTCTCTGGTGGAGATCATCCTGTATGTTACCAGACAGATGACAGGTAAGAACAGAGTCCTGACATGCAGTCTGTAGTCCTACCACCTTCTTCGCTGATGCTAAAGTAATTCAACATGAATCCACTCAGATACAGCATGTATCCACTCGTGGGATTTCCACCAGCTCAACCAAGTTCTCCTTTTTCAGATCCTAAAGATGCTATCACCTTCCTCGAGAAGACTAAGGAGAAGGTGAAGAGCAACGATGAGTCAGTCATTCTGTGCAAGACATCCATTGGAGCCCTTAAACTGGAGATAAATGACCTTCCAGCCACAAAGGTAACACACACACTGCCTGGGCATACAGTAACTTGTAGGTGAAAACAAACATCTCAATGGAGACCTGTCCCAAGAAGGCAGTAATCAAAACAAACAAAAGCATACAATAACTTATTGTAGCCAGATGTACAGTGGGGGAAAAAAGTATTTAGTCAGCCACCAATTGTGCAAGTTCTCCCACTTAAAAAGATGAGAGAGGCCTGTAATTTTCATCATAGGTACACGTCAACTATGACAGACAAAATGAGAAAAAAAAATCCAGAAAATCACATTGTATGATTTTTAATGAATTTATTTGCAAATTATGGTGGAAAATAAGTATTTGGTCAATAACAAAAGTTTCTCAATACTTTGTTGGCAATGACACAGGTCAAACGTTTTCTGTAAGTCTTCACAAGGTTTTCACACACTGTTGCTGGTATTTTGGCCCATTCCTCCATGCAGATCTCCTCTAGAGCAGTGATGTTTTGGGGCTGTCGCTGGGCAACACGGACTTTCAACTCCCTCCAAAGATTTTCTATGGGGTTGAGATCTGGAGACTGGCTAGGCCACTCCAGGACCTTGAAATGCTTCTTACGAAGCCACTCCTTCGTTGCCCGGGCGGTGTGTTTGGGATCATTGTCATGCTGAAAGACCCAGCCACGTTTCATCTTCAATGCCCTTGCTGATGGAAGGAGGTTTTCACTCAAAATCTCACGATACATGGCCCCATTCATTCTTTCCTTTACACGGATCAGTCGTCCTGGTCCCTTTGCAGAAAAACAGCCCCAAAGCATGATGTTTCCACCCCCATGCTTCACAGTAGGTATGGTGTTCTTTGGATGCAACTCAGCATTCTTTGTCCTCCAAACACGACGAGTTGAGTTTTTAACCAAAAAGTTCTATTTTGGTTTCATCTGACCACATGACATTCTCCCAATCCTCTTCTGGATCATCCAAATGCACTCTAGCAAACTTCAGACGGGCCTGGACATGTACTGGCTTAAGCAGGGGGACACGTCTGGCACTGTAGGATTTGAGTCCCTGGCGGCGTAGTGTGTTACTGATGGTAGGCTTTGTTACTTTGGTCCCAGCTCTCTGCAGGTCATTCACTAGGTCCCCCCGTGTGGTTCTGGGATTTTTGCTCACCGTTCTTGTGATCATTTTGACCCCACGGGGTGAGATCTTGCGTGGAGCCCCAGATCGAGGGAGATTATCAGTGGTCTTGTATGTCTTCCATTTCCTAATAATTGCTCCCACAGTTGATTTCTTCAGACCAAGCTGCTTACCTATTGCAGATTCAGTCTTCCCAGCCTGGTGCAGGTCTACAATTTTGTTTCTGGTGTCCTTTGACAGCTCTTTGGTCTTGGCCATAGTGAAGTTTGGAGTGTGACTGTTTGAGGTTGTGGACAGGTGTCTTTTATACTGATAACAAGTTCAAACAGGTGCCATTAATACAGGTAACGAGTGGAGGACAGAGGAGCCTCTTAAAGAAGAAGTTACAGGTCTGTGAGAGCTAGAAATCTTGCTTGTTTGTAGGTGACCAAATACTTATTTTCCACCATAATTTGCAAATAAATTCATTAAAAATCCTACAATGTGATTTTCTGGAGAGAAAAAAATCTCAATTTGTCTGTCATAGTTGACGGGTACCTATGATGATAATACAGGCCTCTCATCTTTTTAAGTGGGAGAACTTGCATAATTGGTGGCTGACTAAATACTTTTTTCCCCCACTGTATATGTGTGTACATTTCAATCCAGTGTATATGTATGTAAACCCTGCCTTCCGTCCGGCAGATATTAATTGAGGAGGTGGAGGAGACGCTGAATAACTTGCCCGGGGTGACGTCAGTCCACGGGCGATTCTACGACCTGTCCAGCAAATACTACCGCATCGTGGGGAACCATGCCTCTTACTACAAGGACGCTCTGCGCTACCTCGGCTGTGTCGACATCAAAGACCTGCCAGGTAACATCCATTTACAATGTATAAAGGCAGTATGTAGCACTGAAATCAAATATGCATGGTTTGGCCATAGAGCAGAACTTAATTTTGGTAAAATCACAAAAGCATCATTAGAAAAAACATTTAGTATGCTAGTACTCACTAGCTGTCATAACTGATGATGTCTGTATGCTAGTACTCACTAGCGGTCATAACTGATGATGTCTGTATGCTAGTACTCACTAGCTTTCATAACTGATGATGTCTGTATGCTAGTACTCACTAGCTTTCATAACTGATGATGTCTGTATGCTAGTACTCACTAGCGGTCATAACTGATGATGTCTGTATGCTAGTACTCACTAGCGGTCATAACTGATGATGTCTGTATGCTAGTACTCACTAGCGGTCATAACTGATGATGTCTGTATGCTAGTACTCACTAGCGGTCATAACTGATGATGTCTGTATGCTAGTACTCACTAGCGGTCATAACTGATGATATCTGTATGCTAGTACTCACTAGCGGTCATAACTGATGATGTCTGTATGCTAGTACTCACTAGCGGTCATAACTGATGATGTCTGTATGCTAGTACTCACTAGCGGTCATAACTGATGATGTCTGTATGCTAGTACTCACTAGCGGTCATAACTGATGATGTCTGTATGCTAGTACTCACTAGCGGTCATAACTGATGATGTCTGTATGCTAGTACTCACTAGCGGTCATAACTGATGATGTCTGTATATCCGTCAGAGACAGAGAAGCAGGAGAGGGCTTTCACTCTGGGTCTGGCTGGACTCTTAGGAGAGGGAGTTTACAACTTCGGAGAGCTGGTAAGTACCCATCACCACCCTCATGATTGTTGTGTTTTTGTGGTATCCTCCCATTTGGTGAAGATATTAGCCTGTCCTATAATAAGCATCAAGCAGCCATTTAAAGCAAGTTTTGGCTGAGCTACAACCACACAAGTTTGGGCTCAAGTTTCGCCATTGAAGCACTAGATGGCTTTGACAGCCTGTGTTTGACAGCCTGCCTACCTGCCTGTGTTTGACAGCCTGCCTACCTGCCTGTGTTTGACAGCCTGCCTACCTGCCTGTGTTTGACAGCCTGCCTACCTGCCTGTGTTTGACAGCCTGCCTACCTGCCTGTGTTTGACAGCCTGCCTACCTGCCTGTGTTTGACAGCCTGCCTACCTGCCTGTGTTTGACAGCCTGCCTACCTGCCTGTGTTTGACTGTCTGCCTGCCTGCCTGTGTTTGACTGCCTGCCTGCCTGTGTTTGACTGCCTGCCTGCCTGCGTTTGCCTGCCTGCCTGCCTGCCTGTGTTTGGCAGCTTGCCTGCCTGCCTGTGTTTGACTGCCTGCCTGTGTTTGACTGCCTGCCTCTGCTTGTGTTTTTAGCTGATGCACCCAGTACTGGAGTCCCTAAGGAGCACAGACAAGCAGTGGCTGATAGACACCCTGTACGCCTTCAACGGAGGCAACGTGGAGAAGTTCCAGGCCTACAAGTCTGCCTGGGGAGCGCAGGTAACCAGGGCCTTGGACCGTTGGTTGAATGTACTCTATGGAAACTATCACGGCAAGAAATAAAGAACGAAAACTATTGTAGCTCCCATTCTCTCTTTCCAGAATATGTTATTGTTTACACACATGGACATGGTTTTGTTGAGGTGCTATGATAATGCAAGTTAATAATGTTACAATACTCACAGAAGATTAGAGATCACCTGTCATTAACCAACCAAACAGAACTAATTTCAACATGTGTGTCTGTGTTCCAGCCTGACCTGGCAGCCAATGAAGCCAAACTGATGCAGAAGATTCAGCTGCTTTGTGTGATGGAGGTGGGTTCTCTTCTCTCCCAGACACAACCAATGCTCTCTCTTCCTCAATGGTTTTATATGTTGAGGAGTGCTGACGGTTGACTACGGAAAGGTTTTACTTGCAATTTAATGTGAAATGTAGTTGTTTTTCCCCAAGGGTTGGCACCAAAAACTCAAAAAAATAACGAACTTTTTAGGGGAACATAATCTGAACCGGGAACGAAAGTGATCTATAATGTTCCGGGCATTTCTTTCCAGTCCCACAAAAAAAAACACAACAAAACGCCTATGCAAAGCCCTCCCTCTTGTCACTCAGAAATGTATTCCAGTGTCTGCCTGACAGATGAAAATCTTTGCCAGTGTTGGTGCGTGTGTAGGCTACCTGCCCCTCCCCTTCCGAAGCACAGGCTACTGTAGCCTGCTGACGTTACAAGAGCGATTCAGAAATTAGGGAGAGAGATTTTTAATGACAGAAGAATGGATTAACGTTTTCAATGCTAATTAAGGATACCATAGTTATCACGTTTCACACTGGATGTATTAACTACAAAAAAGGTAAGACGTGTTTTTAAATTTTAATTCTGGTGCCGCTCTGCACACAGAAGCTCGTTAGCTAGTTAGCTCTGGTCCAACGTTAAACCAACTCTCTCTGAAGTTCAAAGACATTCAACGTTCCTCCGTAGCTATAATTCTGTGGGCCTAATTCAGGTAATGCATGTCATAACGACAAGATGCCAAGCCGCCTCCTCCACCGTCTCTCGCTCTCTCCCCACCTGCCAAATTTCAGTGGCATCTCGCGCCCTACACTTGTCTGTCCAATGGATGTAAACAATAGCTTGCCCGCTCCATAGCAAGCTGCTCTATTCACACTGATCGGTGAAGTAATTCAATGTCAAGCTTAATGTATATATATATATATATATATATAAGAATGGTTCTGTTCAGAAGGAAACGATTGGAAAAATAAATTTGGTTCCAACCCCTGGTTCTACCTACTTTTACCAACTTACTGTTGAATGCACTGATTGGTCAGTCGCTCTGGGTTAGAGCTCCTGTTTAATGAGGAGGTTGGAAATGGAGTGAGGTGCTCTACCAGCCCTAACATGTCCTCCTCTAACTGCCCTAACGTCCTCCTCTACCTGCCCTAACATGTCCTCCTCTCCTCCTCCAACAGTCCTAACATGTCCTCCTCTCCTCCTCCAACTGCCCTAACATGTCCTCCTCTCCTCCTCCAACAGTCCTAACATGTCCTCCTCTCCTCCTCCAACTGCCCTAACATGTCCTCCTCTCCTCCTCCAACAGTCCTAACATGTCCTCCTCTCCTCCTCCAACTGCCCTAACATGTCCTCCTCTCCTCCTCCAACAGTCCTAACATGTCCTCCTCTCCTCCTCCAACAGTCCTAACATGTCCTCCTCTCCTCCTCCAACAGTCCTAACATGTCCTCCTCTCCTCCTCCAACAGTCCTAACATGTCCTCCTCTCCTCCTCCAACAGTCCTAACATGTCCTCCTCTAACTGTCCTAACATGTCCTCCTCTCCTCCTCCAACAGTCCTAACATGTCCTCCTCTCCTCCTCCAACAGTCCTAACATGTCCTCCTCTCCTCCTCCAACAGTCCTAACATGTCCTCCTCTCCTCCTCCAACAGTCCTAACATGTCCTCCTCCAACAGTCCTAACATGTCCTCCTCCAACAGTCCTAACATGTCCTCCTCTCCTCCTCCGTCTAGATGACGTTCACCCGTCCCGCTAACAACAGACAGCTGAGCTTCCATGAGATTGGACAGAGTGCCAAGATCCCCGTCAACGAGGTCAGTTGAGTAATCAATCCACCAATCGTATGTCACTTATACCAAATCGTTAGTATGTGGAGGCTTCTAATGAACATTGGTCTGTATCCGTGGTCACCTGGTCCATAGGCTTTTGTCCCAGCACAATAACCGGCCAATTTAAAATAACATTGAGTTGAGTCACGTGCTTTAACTGTCTGGAACCGCAGGCCAGCACATCCTGTAGCTCTGCCTCCAGGGTTGTTGACAACTATCGCCCCATTTCAAGACTACCTTGTTTAGCTAAGATTCTTCAATCCTTGGTTAATGTACCACTTTGTAACTTTTGTATCTGATAGTTGTATTTTTAATATAAACCAATCAGGGTTTAGGCCTGGGCGTAGTGCTACCACGGCAACCACGGTGATGCCTTGGATGCTAAAAAGATCCCTGCTGCTTTTGTTTATTGACCTGTCAAAGGCGTTCGACACTGTTGGATCATTCTGTTTTGCTGAAGACGTTATCTAGAATAGGCCTGGGATACACAGCCTGTTTATGGTTTCAGAATGATCTTAGCGACACAACTCAGGCCATCTTGACAGACGGGGTTCAATCTGAATTTCTTGAGATTCAAAAAGGTGTTCCTCAGGGTTCGATTTTGGGTCCATTTATTGTTCATGTTGTATATTAATGACAGAGGAAACACTGTTAATACTTGTAACATTCTATTCATGTGCCACCTCGGTGCAGCACGGCCATTCGTGAACTTCAGCATGACTTTGATTCAATTCAGAAATCACTTACAAGATCTTGAATTAGTGTTAAATACAAGTAAAACCAAGCTCATGCTGTTCTCTAGGGCACGAAATGTTGACCCCCGAGGACCTGCATATTTGAGCTACAAATGGAGCCCAAATTGAGCTTGTTTCTCAATATAAGTACCTGGGTGTCTGGATTGATGACAAGTTGTCCTTCATAACACATAGAAAATCTGACTTAAGAAGCTAAGATCCAAGATAGTTAAAAAAAATATATATATCAAAATAAAGCATGCCTCAGTATTGAAAATAGGAGAAAGATTGTTCAAACATCGCTTCTCCCTGTTTTGGATTTTGGTGATTTTGTTTACATGCATGCAGGCAACCTCTGTTATGAAACCTTTGGATGCAGTTTACGATTCCGCAATACGTTTTATCACAGCGGACAACTTTAGGACTCATCATTGTAGTCTGTATATGCGGATGTTCTGGTGCCACTCAGGCAGTTAAAATGATTGATTGAAGACCTCTATGTAGTTGAATGTGATTGCTTTTATTAAATATGTTTATTTTGTTATTGTATGCTGAATGATATTGTTTTATACACGTGTATGTTTTATTCTGTTTTTATTGTATAGAAGGCTCTCTTGTAAAATAGATTTTTAATCTCAATGTGACTCCCTGTTTTAAATAAAGGTTAAATAAAAATAAATATATGGAGACCAGGGTTGGTGACAACTGGTGTTTATAAGGAGAGTTGATTGTAAACTGTCTGAGCTCCCTGACTGGGTCTGATTGCGGTTCTTGGTTGTCCCCTGCAGGTGGAGCTGCTAGTGATGAAGGCTCTGTCTGTGGGTCTGATCAAAGGAAACATTGATGAGGTGGACCAGAAGGTTCAGATGACCTGGGTGCAGCCCCGAGTACTGGACCTGCAGCAGGTAAATACATACACCTCAACATATTCAGCCCCGAGTACTGGACCTGCAGCAGGTAAATACATACACCTCAACATATTCATATTCACGGGCCAAGGAATAATAATCAGTCAATGAGAAACACCGGTTCTCAGGGGCCAGACGTGACTCCTGGTTTTCACCAGAAATAGGGAATATTCTGTTGTTTTACTGTAACACCCTCTGTAACACAAGACATTGAGACCAATCCTAGTTGTAGTTTAAAAAAAAAGAAGTGGCTTTGGAATCATCCTCAATGAGCTATAGAAAAGCTTGTTACTCCTCTCTGACCGTTAACCTTTGACCCTCCCTCTCATCCCCGCCCCTCTTCAGATCAAGGGCATGAAGGACCGGTTGGACCTGTGGTGTGGAGATGTGAAGAACATGGCTGTGTTGGTGGAACAGCAGGCCCACGATATCCTCACCTAGACATGCCTCCTCCCCCTGGTCTCTCTGGCCCTGTCCAGAACAACCCCCTAACCTCTAGACACTTGTAGAGATCAGAGAGGATTTGATTGGTTTAAGCAATATGATGATAGTACCTTGCCCTCTGATAGGCTAGATGGAGTTTTGGCCATGTTGCTTACACCAGTCCAATCCTCTCTGATCTTCACAAGGGTCTAAGGTGTAGGTGCAAGGAATGTTCTTCTGGACAGGGCCCTTCTCCCAGCCTGTTCACCCCTAGAACGGCCACCTTCAGCAGGCATACCACCACCACAGGAGTCCCCTCTCTTTATTCCTCTACCTACCTATCTCCCAGGAGGACTGATGCATCCAGCTTTTTCAGTTTTTGTAATTTGTATTTTTTGTTGGGGTGCCATGTATGTTCTTCATGTTTTACTGTAACCATTTATATCCTAATGGTAGTAAATAAATAAAATATAACACTGTTGAATTTTGAGAAAAGGGGAAAAAAAAGATGCTGGTTTGTGAAACATTACCCTCCAAGCATGGATTGTGGATGTGACTGTGTTTTAGATAGACCTTATATGGTTATATTGAACCTAATAGAATGACACGGTTTCCCCAACCCTGGATCCCGAGGAATGTTTGACCAGAAGGTTATATTGTGTTTAGGAGAGGTCCAACCACACAAGCCTCTGGGTTGACTGCTGCTGATATTGTGTGTGACCCCAGGGGTTGATGAGGTGTGACCCCAGGGGTTGATGAGGTCCAGGACTAGAGGGGTGAGGTGTGACCCCAGGGGTTCATGAGGTGTGACCCCAGGGGTTCATGAGGTGTGACCCCAGGGGTTCATGAGGTGTGACCCCAGGGGTTCATGAGGTGTGACCCCAGGGGTTCATGAGGTGTGACCCCAGGGGTTGATGAGGTGTGACCCCAGGGGTTGATGAGGTGTGACCCCAGGGGTTCATGAGGTGTGACCCCAGGGGTTGAATATTCATTCATATTCCATCTTTTCAGTTATTTTCCATTCTCAATTCATCTCTTCAACTACTGTGCTTAATATTGAGTTGCACCCACTTTTGCCCTCAGAACAGCCTCAATTCATTGGTGCGTGGACTCTACAAGGTGTCGAAAGCGTTCCACAGGGATGCTGGCCCATGTTGACTCCAATGCTTCCTACAGTTGGCAGGATGTCCTTTGGATGGTTGGACCATTATTGATACACAAGGGAAACTGTTTGAGCATGGAAAAACCCAGCAGTGTTGCAGTTCTTGACACACTCTTAAATTGATTGAAGTGGATTTAACAAGTGACATCAAAAAAGGGATCATAGCTTTCACTTGGTCAGTCTATGTCATGGAAAGAGCAGGTGTTCGTAATGTTTTGTCCACTCAGTGTAAATGTAGGCGGAGTTATAACCCACTGATTTACCATACAACAAATAATTCAATCGATGCATGGCATTTATAGATACAGCATTATGAATATCTATTCTACAGCAAAATTCTTAATACAGGATCTTACTTAAATCTTAATGAAGGGTTTTCAGAAATTGTCTATAGGCAATCTATTGAGCTAAATCAGTCTTAGATTGTCCCTGAAGTAAAGGAACAGCATCCAACGGCGAGAGGAGATCGTGACGAACACCCACCAGCTCACTACTCTGTTCCAAGGTGATTCATTAAAGTCTTCCATTTAATCAATACATTTTATGAGGCCAGACTGAATCCCTGAATGTGTGCTGGCTTCACGCTCATTTGGATTAGAACCATCAACTACATACAGTACATAGCCTGGTTAAACAATGGTGAAACACAGCGAAATCAGTGTGGGTGTCATGCTATGAACTACATAACCACATTATCAGGCTATGAACTACATAACCACATTATCAAAATGGAAATCAGTGTTGGTGCCAGGCTACGAACTACATAACCACATTATCAGGCTGTGAACTACATAACCACATTATCAAAATGGAAATCAGTGTTGGTGCCAGGCTACGAACTACGTAACCACATTATCAGGCTATGAACTACATGACCACATTATCAGGCTATGAACTACATAACCACATTATCAGGCTATGAACTACATAACCACATTATCAGGCTATGAACTACATAACCACATTATCAAAATGCCACCTTGATCATCAAAGGGAAAATGTTGGGGTGTAATCGAACACCTGAAACTGTTATGAATTGTTGTATTACAGCCTGAATTCAAAATGGATTCAATATATTTTTTCCCATCTACTCAAAATAGCCCATAATGACAAAGTATTAAAACACCCCCTACATTTTTTGGTGTGAAAATTAAATACAAAATATCTCATTTACGTAATGATTCACAATCCTTTTCTATGGCACTCCAAATTGAGCTCAGGTGCATCCAATTTACTTTGATCATCCTTGATATGATTTAACTGATTTAATGAGCCTTTCGCAGTTTCACTGTACCGGCCGTGTGTACTTAGACTTGCGTGGCTTAATCTTTGAGACAAGCATATGCTACTGGCAGGATCAACCATAACTTGATTGGATTCCACCTGTGGCCAATTCAATTGTTTGGACATGATTTAGAAAGAAACACACCTGTCTATATAAGGTCCCACAGTTGCCAGTGCATGTCAGAGCAGAAACTATACCATGAAGACCAAGGAACTGGCCGTAGATCTCCCAGATACAATTGTGATGAGGCATATATCTTGGGAAGGGTATAAAACTATTTCTAGAGTGTTGATCGTTTCCAAGAGCATAATGGTCTCCATCATTGGGAAATAGAAAAAATATGGAACTACCCAGACTGCCTAGAGCTGGCCGTCCGACCAAACTGAGCAACCGGGCAAGAAGGACCTTGGTCAGGGAGGTGACCAAGAACCCAATGACCACTCTGACAGAACTACAGAGTTCCTTGGCTGAGATGGGAGAACCTGCCAGAAGGACAACAGTCTCTACAGCACTTCACCAATCTGGGCTTTCTCCAGACATAGCAAAGTGCTATGTCTGGAGAAGACCAGGCACAGCTCATCACCCATCTAACACCATCCCTACTGTGAAGCATGGTGGTGGCAGCATCATGCTATGGGGATGCTTTTCAGCGGCAGGGACTGGTTGACTGGTAAGGATAGAGGGAACAATGAATGGAGCCAAATACAGGCAAATCCTTGTGAGAACCTGCTTCAGAGTGCAAACAACCTTAGACTGGGGCAAATATCTTTGTTCCAACAGTTTCAGCAGCCTCCTGTGCCCCAAGCATTTAGCCAAAGCAACGCTGGAATAGCTTCAGAACAAGAAAGTCCTTGAGTGGCCCAGGCAAAGCCCAGACTTGAATCCCATTGAAAATTTGTGGAAAGACTTGAAGATTGCTGTTCACTGCCACTCCCCAACTAACTTAACAGAGCTTGAGAAAAAAATCTGCAAGGAAGAATGGGGGGAAAATCCTCAAATCCAGATGTGCAAAGCTGAAACAGACATACCCAAGACGACTCAACGCTGTAATCGCTGCCAAAGGCGCTTCTACAAAGTATTGACTCTGGGGTGTGAATACTTACGTAAATTTGATATTTCTGTATTTCAATTTCAATACATTTGCTAAAAATTTAAAAAAAAACATGCTTTCACTTCGTCATTATGGGGCATTATGTGTAGATAGGTGAGGGATTTTTAAAATCAATTTTGAATTCAGGCTGTAACACAACAAGATGTGGAATAAGGCAAGGGGTATGAATACTTTCTGAATGTACTGTATTTTATGGTGCACAAAAATGTCCTTTTGGCGACAGTATTGAGCTATTGACTCTCTGAAATGTAAATGGCCAGGGAAGACCATTTACATGAGAATGCTATTCATTGACCACAGCTCAGCGTTCAACACCATAGTGCCCTCAAAGCTCATCACTAAGCTAAGGATCCTGGGACTAAACACTAACCTCTGCAACTGGATCCTGGACTTCCTGACGGGCCGCCCCCAGGTGGTAAGGGTAGGTAACAACACATCTGCCACGCTGATCCTCAACACGGGGGGCCCCTCAGGGGTGCGTGCTCAGTCCCCTCCTGTACTCCCTGTTCACCCATGACTGCATGGCCAGGCACGACTCCAACACCATCATTAAGTTTTCTGACGACACAACAGTGGTAGGCCTGATCACCGACAATGATGAGACAGCCTATAGGGAGGAGGTCAGAGACCTGGCCGTGTGGTGCCAGGATAACAACCACTCCCTCAACGTGACAAAGACAAATGAGATGATTGTGGACTACAGGAAAAAAAAGAGGACTGAGCACGCCCCCATTCTCATCAACGGGGCTGTAGTGGAACAGGTTGAGAGCTTCAAGTACCTTGGTGTCCACATCACCAACGAACTATCATGGTCCAAACACACCAAGACAGTCGTGAAGAGGGCACGACAAAGCCTATTCCCCCTCAGGAGACTGAAAAGATTTGGCATGGGTCCTCAGATCCTCAAAAGGTTCTACAGCTGCACCATCGAGAGCATCCTGACTGGTTGCATCACCACCCCATCTGCACCCACACCCCATCTTTTTACTCTGCTGCTACTCTGTTAATTATTTATGCATAGTCACTTTAACTTTACCCACATGTACATATTACCTCAACTACCCGGTGCCCCCGCACATTGACTCTGCACCGGTTCCCCCCTGTATATAGCCTCCCTACTGTTATTTTATTTTACTTCTGCTCTTTTTTTCTCAACACTTTTTTGTTGTTGTTTTATTTTACTTTTTTATTAAAAAATAAATGCATTGTTGGTTAAGGGCTGTAAGTAAGCATTTCACTGTAATGTCTACACCTGTTGTATTCGGCATGTGGCAAATAAAATTTGATTTGATTTGAAAAGCAGGAGAACTCCAACTAAAGGTCATGTCAGTCTGAAGTAATCTCATCAGTTTGTCAGCTTTGTTTTTATTAAAATGATATAAATACAGAAATTAAGTCCAAAGTACACTTTTGGAATCAGAGAATTATAGAGCAGCCACTAGTGTACAACAAAATACATGGCTGACTTTCCAGTTGATTGTCTTGGAGAGGGGAGAGAGAGAGAGAGAGGCGGGAGGGCGGCGGGGGGGGGGGGGGGGGGGGGGGGGGGGGGGGGGGGGTGGTGCGGGGGGAGAGAGAGACAGAGACATTTGAAATATCTATATAAAGATAGAGTATAAAAAAAAAGATGTATTCACTAACTGTAAGTCGCTAAATGACTAAAATGTAAATGTAAATGTAAAATGTAAATTTTACAACTTTTGTGAGTGTAATGTTTACTGTTAATTTCTGATTGTTTATTTCCCTTTCATTGTCTGTCACTTGCTCTGGCAATGTAAACATACAATGAGTGGACAGAACATTAGGAACACCTGCTCTTTCCATGACACAGACTGACGAGGTGAATCCAGGTGAAATATATGATCCCTTATTGATGTCACCTGTTAAATCCACTTCAATCAGTGTAGGAGACAGGTTAAAGAAGGATTTTTAAGCTTTGAGACAATTAAAACATGGATTGTGTGTGTGTGCCATTCAGAGGGTGAATGGGCAAGACAAAAGATTGAAGTGTCTTTGAATGGGGTATGGTAGTAGGTGCCAGGCGCACCGGTTTGAGTGTGTCAAGAACTGCAATGCTGCCAGGGTTTTCACGCTCAACAGTTTTCCGTGTGTATCAAGAATTGTCCACCACCCAAAGGACATCCAGCCAACTTGACACAACTGTGGGAAGCATTGGAGTCAACATGGGCCAGCATCCCTGTGGAATTCTTTCGACACCTTGTAGAGTCCACGCCTCGACGAATTGAGGCTGTTCTGAGGGCAAAAGGGGGTGGAACTCAATATTAGGAAGATGTTGCTAATGTTTTGTACACTCAGTGTATGTTTCCCATGCCAATATAGCCCTTTGAGTTGAATTGAGAGAGACAGAGACAGAGAAAGATAGAGGAGAGAGAGAGAGAGAGAGAGAGGAGAGAGAGAGAGAGAGAGAGAGAGAGAGAGAGAGAGAGAGTGAGAGGCAGATCATTAGATTGCTAGGTAATTAGGGAAAGCGGGCTATATCCCCAAAGGGCCAGCGCAGTGAACCAAACACACACTGCTCTTCCCCTGTCCCAGGGTCTCTATCTCTTTAAGAGCCTACAGAAGGAGGGAGGGGAGGGAGGGAGGGAGAGAGGGAGCGTGTGGGGGAGGGGTATTGGATGGGGTGGAACAGTCCTTCAGTAATGAGCCGATTTTAGAGAGAGAGAGAGAGAGAGAGAGAGCGAAGCGACCGAGAAACCACCACAATATGACTTGGGGGAAACTGGATATATTAACGATCCAGAGATAGGTTGAGCGCTAAAATACAGAAGATAAAGCAGAAAGGAAGAAAATAATTGTATAATTTTTTTGTTGTTGTTTGCATCAGCCCTCCTCGCATGTTGTTCAGGAGAGACTGCAGCTCCATCTCTACAGCGCAGCAGGAGCAGAGTGAGGAGGAGGAGGAGGAGGAGGAGGAGGAGGAGGAGGGAGAGGAGGAGAGAAGCAACAGGGAATACTCCGTCAGTTAGGTCGTCTGAGGTGTGTGTGTGTGTTCAGTGTGTGTGTGTGTGTTTATGGATGTGTGTGTTTGGATGTTTCCAGCCCATGCTATAGCTCTAGCCCATCTCTTCCTCTCCTACTCTGTTTATTTGGGGCGTACTGGTGCGCTGCGATCCCATCTCCCGTCTCTATCCTCTCTCCGTTGTCTGTGTGCCGGTGTAGCACAGCTAGAGGGCGTGGTGGTGTAATGTCTGATTGAGCTCGCTGTGTCGCTGCTGCCGTGAGGGCCTCCGGTACTATTAGGAAAAGCCTGGGCCTAGCCTGTCTGGAGCGCCCCAGCCAAACGAAGAGGTGAGTGGGTTAGTGCCATCCCAGCTGGCGAGGCTGTGTGGAGGAGGGTGGAGGAGGAGCGCATACAGCCTGCACGCCCATGGGAAGCAGAATGCCCGGCCGGCAGTAGCATCTAGCATCCTTAACGTCACGCCAGACCCAGCTCCCGAACCTGCCACCTCCACTGACAGACAGACGAGACCTCTCTCTCTCTCTCTCTCTCTCTCTCTCCATCCCAGGTGATGCTCTCTGGACCAAGCCCTGCTCTGTACAAGACTGGGAACCTGTTTTTGATGACATTATCATAAAAAACCCAACAACAAAAAGAAAAGGGGAAATACTCTGAGATCTAAACCTCCATGATACTACCTCCATCCTCGCCTCCCTGCCCTGATCGCTCTGTGTACACCTCATTCTCTCTTCTGGACGTTCTGAGGATTTTGCCTAAACCTGTTTCATGCATGTCCACTGGAGGCAGGTTTGACTTTGATGACGGGGGGTCGTACTGCGGGGGGTGGGAGCAGGGCAAGGCCCACGGCCGGGGGGTCTGCACGGGGCCACAGGGCCAGGGGGAGTACGCTGGGGCCTGGAGCCACGGCTTCGAGGTCCTTGGAGTCTACACCTGGCCCAGCGGGAACAGCTACCAGGGCACCTGGGCACAGGGGAAGCGCCACGGTGTGGGCGTGGAGAGTAAGGGCCGCTGGGACTACAGGGGGGAGTGGACGCAGGGCTTCAAGGGACGCTACGGCCAGCTGGAGAGCACGGTTAGCGGGGCCCGTTACGAGGGGACCTGGAGCAACGGCCTGCAGGATGGATACGGGACTGAGACGTACTCCGATGGAGGTAAGGAAGGAAGGGACACACCAGGCCTCCAAGCTGAGCAGCATCTGACCCCCTATAAATGACCCCCTATTCTCTAAATAGTGTACTTATTTAGATCAGAGCAGCCCTGAGCAACATCTTCATCAACTAATCACTCTTACTATGCAGTGCACTTGTATTCATTCTATTTTGGTTTTAAGACACTAAAAGGGTCACTCTTCCCTCTCCTTCTCCTGTACCGCTCATCCTCCTTTCAACCCTCATCCTTTACTAAAATCCATTCATTCTCGCCATCTCTCTTCATACAGTATCTCCACCTGCCTCCCCTTGTATCTGAAAGGGGTTATCCATATCTGAGACCTATTTCAGCTGGGATTGATAAGGCAATACAGGTCACCTCCCCAGTCAGCAGTAATAGGTCTGAAACATGCAGTGAATCAGAGAGGGGCCCCTGCAGACTGGCACTAGATCCTAAAGCACATTTAGGACTACGTCTGGATCTGGGCGAGGCCCTGCGTGTGCGTTCACGCTTTACAGAGAAAGAGGATGTAGGGCTATATTGCTATTTCCAGTTCCGGTAATAAAGTGGGGTGAAAGCATGACACTTACTGTGGGCTACCGGTATAGTACATGTTACCACGCAAAGACAAACACTGATGCTGCCAGTAATGGCAGGTAACTGAAATGCATCAGCGTTTATACATGCCGCCATCTAATTTGAGGCCTGTTGAATCTTTATATCCTCTCAGATTCCATCTGTATTCCCACTCTCCTCTATTCCCCCTCCTCTATTCCTCTATTCCCCTCTCCTCTATTCCCCCTCCTCTATACCCCTCTCTCTATCCCCCTCCTTTATTCCTCTATCCCCCTCCTCTATTCCCCCTCCTCTATTCCTCTATTCCCCCTCCTCTATTCCCTCTCCTCTATTCCCCCTCCTCTATTCCCCCTCCTCTATTCCTCTATTCCCCCTCCTCTATTCCCCCGTCCTCTATTCCCCCTCCACTATTCCTCTTTTCCCCCCTCTCCTCTACCCCCTCCTCTATTCCTCTATTCCCCTCTCCTCTATTCCCCCTTTCCCTTCCCCCCGCTCCCGTTTAAAATTTTTTCGACACCTTGTAGGGTTTCCCCGCCTCACGAATTTAGGCTTTTTGAGGGCAAAAAGGGGGGGGAATCAAAAATTTTTAAAATGGGAATGTTTTGTACACTCAGTTGGTTTTTTCCCCCTGCCAATATACCCTTTGAGTTGAATTGAGAGAGCCCGAGACAGAGAAAAATAGAGGGGGAGAGAGAGAAGAGAAGAGGAGAGAGAGAGAGAAGGGGAGAGACAGAGAGAAAAGAGAGAGTGAGAGGGGAGATTTATTAGATTGCTAGGGATTTGGGGGGAAAACGGGGTATTCCCCCCGGGGCCCGCAGTGAACCAAACCCCACACTGCTCTTTCCCCCGTCCCAGGGGTTTTATTCTTTAAGAAGGCCACAGAAGGGGGGAGGGAGGGGGGGAGGGAGAAGGGAGCGTGTGGGGGAGGGTAATTTGGGGGGGTTGGGAAAAGTTTCCTTTAGTAAAAGAGCCGATTTTAAGAGAGAGAGAGAGAAGAGAGAGCGAAAACGCCGAGAAACCCCAAAAAAATTTGGGGGGTTGGGGAAAATGGGTATATTTAACGATCCAGAGATAGGTTGAGCGCTAAAATACAGAAGATAAAGCGGAAAGGGGGAAAAAAATAAAATTTTATAATTTTTTTTTTGTTGTTTGCATCACCCCCCCCCGCATGTTGTTCCGGGGAGACGCAGCCCATTTTTAAAGCGCAAGGGGGCAAGTGGGGGAGGAGGAGGAGGAGGGGGGAGGAGGAGGAGGGGGGGAGAGGAGGAAGGGAAAACAACAGGGGAAAAACTCCGTCAGTTTGGTCGTCCCGGGGTGGGGTGTGTGTGTTCAGGGTGTGTGTGTGTGTTTAGGGGTGTGTGTGTTTGGATGTTTTTCCCGCCCATGCTTATAGCCCATGCCCATCTCTTTTCCCCTCCCTCCTGTTTTTTTTGGGGCTTTTGGTGCCTGGATCCCCTCCCCCCGTCTCTTCCCCTCTCCGTTTTCTGTGTGCCGGTTGGGAGCCCCCGCTGAGGCTGGTGGTGTAATGTCTGATTGACCGCTTTGTCGCGCTCCGTGAGGCCTTTGGGACTATTAGAAAAGCCGGGCCTAGCCCGTCTGGACGGCCCCCCCCCGCCAAACGAAAAAGGTGATTTGGGTTTGTTTCCCCTCCCCGCTGGCGAGGTGTGTGGAGGAGGGTGGAGGAAAGGGGGCATTCCCGCACGCCCCTGGGAACAGAATGCCCCGGGCCCGGGAAAAAAACATCTAGATTTCCCTTTAAAGTCACGCCAGACCCAGTTTCCCCCAAACCCGCCACCCCCTGGGCAAACCAAAGAGACCCCCCCCTCTCTCCCCCTTCCCATTCCCCTCTCTCCATCCCCGGTGATGCTTTCTGGGGCCAAAACCCTGCTTGTCAAAAACTGGGAACCGTTTTGATGGGCTTTTCAAAAAAACCCCCAAAAACAAAAAAAAAAGGGGAAATTTTCTTGAAAATTTTAAACCTCCATGATTTAAACCCCCCACCTGCCTCCCCCCCCTGGAAACGCTCTGTGTACCCCCTCTTCTCTCTTCTTTGGACGTTTTGAAGGGGTTTTTCCTAAACCTGTTTTATGCATGTCCACTTGGAAAGGGAGGGTTTTACTTTGATGACGGGGGGTGTACTCGGGGGGTGGGAGCAAAGGGCCCAAAGGGCCCCGGCCGGGGGGTTTTGCACGGGGCCCCAGGGCCCGGGGGAGTTAAACTGGGGCCTGGACCCCGGGGTTCGCGGTCCTTGGAGTCTACACCTGGCCAGCGGGAAACAGCTAACCCGGGGACCCACAGGGGAAGCGCCCGGTGTTGCGTGGAAAAGAAGGGCCGCCCGGGGCTTTTCAGGGGGGAGTGGAGGGAGGGCCCTTTAAGGGGACCCTACGGCCCCGGGGAGAGCAGGTTAGCGGGGCCCGTTTTCAGGGACAAAGGGGGCAAAGGCCTGAGGTGGGGTACGGGGGCTGAGACGTCTCCATGGAGGTAAGGAAGGAAAAGGGGAAAAACCAGGCCTCCAAAAAAAATGGCACAAATTACCCCCTATAAAAGCCCCCTATTTAAATAGTGTATTATTTAGATCCCGAGCACCCTGAGCAAAAAACTTAAACAAATTTAAACAATTTTTACAAGCGTTCACTTGTTTTTTCCCTTTAAATTTTGGGGGTTTTTAAAACCTAAAGGGCATCTTCCCCCCCTTTCCTGTACCGCCCATCCCCTTTTAAACCCTCCAAACCTTTTTCTAAAATCCCCCATTTCTCCCCCCATCTTCTTCATCCCGTATTCCACCTGCCTCCCCCTTTTTTGAAAGGGGGTTTTCCAATTGAGCCCCATTTTTAGGGTGGGGTTGAAAGGCAAACAGGTCCCCAACCCCCCCAGTTTAGCAGTAAAAGGCTGAAACCCTGCTGGAAAAGAGGGGGCCCCTTTCAACTGGCCCTAGATCCTAAAGCACATTTAGGAATACGTTGGATTGGGCGAGGCCCCGCGTGTGCTTTTTACCGCTTTAAAAAGAAAGAGGATTTTAGGGTATATTGCTATTTCCGTTCCTAATAAAATGGGTTAAAGAAGGGCACTTATGTGGGGGTTTTAAGGGATAGGGACATTTACCCCCCGAAAAAACAAACACTGAGCGGGCCAAATAAGGGGAGGTACCCAAATGCTCAAAAGGTTTTTTAACCCTGCCGCCACTAATTTTAGGGGGCCGGGTTTAATCCCAAACCCCAAAAACCGGGGGGGCCCCCCCCCAACCCCCCCCCCTTAAAAAATTTTTAAAAAAAAAACCCCCAAAACCCCCATTTCTACCCCCCCTTTTCCCCCTTATTGGGAAAAAAAACCCCCCAAATTTTTGGGTTTCCCCCCTTTTACCCCCCCTTTTTTATTTTTTAAAACCCCCGGGGGGCCAACCCCCCAAAATTTTTCCCCCTTCCAAAAAACCCCCAAAAACCCCCCCGGGGGGGAAAAAAAGGGGGGGAAAAAAACCCCTTCCCCCCCCCCACCCCCCTCATCCCCACCCCGGGGCCAAAACCCCCCCCAAACCCCCCCCCCCCCCCCCTAACCTCTTTCCCCCTCCCATTTCCCCCCCTTAAACCTCAAAAACCCATTCCCCTATTTTTCCCCCCCCTTTTTCCAAAAACCCCCGCCTCCACCCCCCCCCAGGCCCCGGGTTTTAATTCCCCCTTTTTTCCCCCAAATTCCCTTTTTCCCCCTTCCCCCCCTTACTTTTCCCCCTTTTTTCTTTTTTCCTTTTTCCCCCCTTCCCCTTCCCCCCCTTTTATTCCCTTTTCTGCCCCCCTTCCCCATCCCCCCCCTTTCTTTCCCCCCCCTTTTTTTAAATTCCCCCCCCCTTTTTTTCCCCCCTTTTTTTTGTTTCTATTTTTCCCTTTTCTTCCCCCGGTTTAAATTTTTTTCCCTTTATTCCCAAGCCCCCCCTTTTCCCATTCCCCCCCTTTCCCCCAATTTCCCCCCCTTTCCCCTTTTCCCCCCGGGTTTTACCCCCCCCCATTTCTTCCTTTCCCCCCCCCTCTTTTTCCCTTTCCTCTTTCCCCCCCCCCCACCCCCCCACCCCCCCCCCCCCCCCCCCCCCTACCCCCCCCCCCACCCCCCCCCCACCCCCCCCCCCCACCCCCCCCCCTCCCAGGGCCCCCCCCACCGCAACCCCCCCCGACCCCCCCCCCCACCCAACCCCGGGGGGCCACCCCCCCCACCCAAACCCCCCCCATTTCCCCCCCCAACCCAACCCCCCACAACCCCCCCCACCCCCCCAACCCCCCCCCCCCACCCACCCCTTTCCCCACCCCCCCTACCCACCCCCCCCCCCCCCAACCACCCAAACCCCCCCACCCCCCTCCCCCCCCACCCCACCCCCCCCACCCCCCCCGGGCCCACCCCGCCCCCCCCCCCCCCACCCCCCCACCCCCCCCCCACCCCCCGCACCCCCCCCCCCCCCCCACCCCCCCCCCACCCCCCCCCAACCCCCCCCCCCCCCCCAACCCCCCTACCCCCCCCCCACCCCCCCCGGGGCCCAACCCCCCCCCCCCCCCCCCCCCCCCCCCCCCTACCCATTCCCCCCCCCCCCCACCCCCCCCCACCCCCCCCCCCCACCCCCCCCCCCCCCCCCCCCCCCCCCCCTTTTTCCCCCCCCCCCCCCCCCCCCCCGCCCCGGGCCCCCAATTTCCCCCCCCCCCCCCAACCCCCCCCCTATTTCCCACCCCCCCCACCCCCCCTTCCCCCTTCCCCCCTTCCCTCCCCCCGGCCCTGTTCCCCTCCCTCTATTTCCCCTTCCCCCGGCAAAAACCCCGAGGCCCCCCCGGCATGGCCCCCGTGAACCCCATTCCCCCGGTGCCCCCCCCCACCTCGATCCCTCCCGCGAGGCCCCTCGGCCCCGGGCCCCCCCACCCCAACCCCACCCCCCCCGTCTATTCCGGGGGCCCCCCCCCTTTCCTTTTCATCCCCCTGCCCTCTTAATTCCCCCCCCGCCCCCCCCTACCCCTATTCCCTCCCTTGTTCCCCATTCCCCTTTCCCGCCTTTCCCCCCCTTATTTCCCCCTTTTCCCCTCACCCCCCCCTTTTCCTCTTTTTTCCCCCCCCTCTATTTTTTTATTCCCCCTTTCCCCTTTTTCCCCCATTTCCCCTATTTTCCCCTATTCCCCTTCCTCTTATTTCCCCTTCCCACCCCCTCCCCATTTCCCCCCTTAATTTCCCCGGGCCCCAAACCCACCCCCCGCCAACCCCCCCAAGGGGCCCCCCCCGGGGGGCCCCCCCCCCAACCTTCCCCCCCAAAACCCACCCCCGCCCAACCGCCCCCCCCCCCCCCCTCCGGCCCCCCTCTCATCCCCCTCTCTCTCCCTGCATTAAAACCACAACGGGGTCTGTACTGTTTAAAACGCCATGGTAAAAGCCCGAGGGCAGCAGGGCACGTGTCCCCTGGAGACTATTGGTTTTTCTGCCCCTGGTTTTGGGTTTTGGGATTGTCACGGGGTTTTCTGCTTGGACCAAAGGGACAATTTAATGGGGTGGGTGGTCCCAAAAAAGGGGAGGGTGCTAACCTTTTTTTTGTTGCTTTTGGGAGGGGGTGGTTTATATATTTCACTACCCTTCAAAAGTTTGGGGCCCCTTGAAATTTTCCCTTTTTTTCGAAGAAACGCCTTTTTTTTTGTCCATTAAAATAACATCAAATTTTATCCCGAAAATAAAGGGAGACAAAGGGTTTTGGGTTGTAAATGGTATTTGTAGCTGGAAACGGCCCGATTTTTTAAAGGAAATCTACATAGGCCCTACGAGGGCCCTATTTTCAGACGCCCAAACTTTTTATTTTTATTTGGCCCATCTGAGATAGGCTTTTTCTTGCAAACTTGCCTAGAAGGTCGCCCCTTCCCCGGGGGGGCCCGCCCTTTCACTGTTGATGTTGGACGGTGTTTTAAAGGGGAAATTTTAATTAAGCTGCCAAAATTTAGGACCGTGGAGGGGGGCCTGGTTTTTCAAATAGACGCCCTCTAAGGGATTTTTTCCTCTTTTGGGGGCATTTGTGCACCGGGCCTCCCACCCCCCCTCGTTCCCCCATTTGGGGAAGGGGCCAGTTTGGGTCGTTCTTTTGAAGGGATTTGTAACAACGTTTGTACGGGGATCTTCAGTTTCCCTTTGGCAATTTTTTGCATTGGGAAAAGCCTACTTTTTTCTCAAAACAGAATAGAACCCGACGAATTTTCGAAGAAAGTTTTTTTGTATTTTTAGCGTTAACGAACCCCCAATTGGGTGTGCCCCCAGGTACTCAAATAGTCTCAAAGGCCAGTTTTATTGCTTTTTAATCAGCCCCAAAGTTTTCACCTTTTGCTTTAAACCTAATTTGGGAAAAAAGGGGTTTTTTAATGATCAATTTGCCCTTTTTAAAAAAATAACTTGGATTGCAAACACAAGGGCCAAATTTTTGGGAAAACAGGAATTTAGGTTTTTGATAAAAGGGGCCCCTTAGATATTTCCAATTTACCCCAAAAGGCCTTTTTTGTAGACATACCCTCTACAATAGCCCCCTTTAAAAAACAAAAATTACAATGTTTTTTACCCCTGTTTTTTTGAAAACAATTTGAAATTGTTAAATTTTTTTAAAAAAATTGACAAATTTTTAAAAGGCCTTTTTCCTTTTCGGAAAAAGGGAAAATTTTCAATTTCCTTAAATGGAACCCCAAACTTTTTTGAAAAAGGTTTGTGTTTTTTTTTATTTTTTTTTATTGGGCCCAGGGGAGGATAGTTTCATTTTTCTTTCCGGGTTTTTTTCATTCCCCCCCCAAATGGGTCCCCTTTCCCCAACCCAGGGCCCAAACACACCCCAATACAATGATTCCTCCCTGACAGCCTTTTCAACAACCCCCCAAAAAATGATTTCCCCCCTAGACTAGCCTACAACACCAAATGATCCTCCCTAAAAACTAGCCTACAACACCACCCTAAAAATTTAAACCCCCCCTAGAATAGCCCACAACACCCCCAATGACCCCCTAGACTAGCCTACCAAAAACCACAATGATCCTCCCCAAAACTTACCTCCCAAAAACCCCAATGATCCCCTAACTAGGGCCCACAAAAACCACAAACAATATCCTACCTAGATACCCCACAACAAAACCCCAAAGATCCTCCCCCGAAATAGCCCAAACCCCCCCCCCACCCCAAAAAAACCCCCCTAACTAGCCTCCCAAAACCACAATACAAGATCCCCCCTAGACTAGGGCCCCAACACCACCAAAGATCCCCCCCTAGATGCCTACAAAAACCACAATGATCCTCCCTAGGGCTAGGCCCCTAAACACCACAATGTCTCCCTTTGAAATAGCCTACAACACCAAAAATACAAGGGTCCTCCCCAGACTGCCCTACAACACACAATGATTCCCCAGGGCTAGCCTACAACAACCACAATGATCCTCCCCCCAGGGGTAGCCTACAAAAACCACAAAAGATCCTCCCCTTTGACTAGCCCTACAACCCCCC